GCCTGTGTGTGATGTGGACTGCATAGCCACAGTGGGCGACCTGTGGCACCACATTCGCGATCAGGTGACAGCTGCTGCCGAGGAGACCATCGGGCGCGCAAACTGTAAGCGGCCTGATTGGTTTGATGACAACAATGCGACGATCGGCGCATTGGTGTCGGAGAAGAATGCAGCATTTGCTGCACATGTTGCAGACCCCAGTGACTTGGGAAAGAGTAGTCAGTTTCGCAAACTTCGACGGCGACTGACCCGAGAGCTCCGTCGCATTAAAAATGCATGGTGGACGGAGAAGGCGAAGCAGATGGAATGCTACGCCGAACGCCGTCAACACAAGGAATTCTTTGACTCCTTGAAGGCGGTGTATGGACCGAGATTGGAGCCGCTGAGGACACTGATCGATGGTAGTTCAGGCGCTACCTGCACGCAGACTGCAGACATAATGCAGATCTGGCGGAAACACTTTGACTGTCTCTTGAACAACCGTTCAGAGATCGACTGGCCTACATTGAACGGCCTGAAGCAGCACGATGTGAAGGCGGGTCTGGCGGATACGCCGACACTGGATGAGACGCAGAGAGCACTTGCTCAGCTGCGAAACGGCAAGTGTGCCGGAGCCGACGGGATCCCGCCTGAAGTATTGAAACACGGCGGACCCGCGTTGTTGACTGCGCTGCACCACTTGGTGCAACGCGTGTGGATTGAGGAGGAGGTGCCTCCTGAGCTGAAGGATGCCCTTGTGCTACCACTGTACAAGGGCAAAGGTAGCAAGCAATGTTGCACGAATTATCGTGGCATCAACTTGCTGAGTTGTGTGGGCAAGGTGATTGCCCGAATCCTGCTCAACCGCCTCGTCAGTCAGGTTGTGGAACCTAACGTGGCGGAAGAGCAGTGTGGATTCCGTTCGGGTCGCAGCACTATAGATATGGTGTTTGCGGCTCCTCAGTTACAGGAGAAGTGCAGAGAACGACACCAGCCATTGTACTCGCTTTTTGTTGATTTCACCAAGGCATTTGATACGGTGAACAGCGAGGCATTGTGGCTGGTGTTGGGTAAGTTTGGTTGCCCGCGTAAGTTTGTAAGTTTAATTGAATGTCTGCACAGTGGTATGCGAGCGAGGATGCAGCTGAGTGGAGAGACCTCGGATGACTTTGCAGTTGTCTCTGGTGTGAAACAAGGCTGTGTCTTAGCTCCTGCCCTGTTTAATATATATCTTCATGCAATGTTATCTTGTGCTTTTGATGCGGCTTGTGCTTACGGTGTTCGTGTGGAGCACCGTATTGATGGTGGGTTGCTGAACATCCGTCGTTTCGGTGCGAGAACTCTAGTCTGTGAGACAACTATCCGTATGTTGCTGTTTGCTGACGACTGTGCGTTGTTTTCACACAGCGCGGATGAGTTGCAGCACATGACTAGTGCTCTGGCTTCGACAGCGGCCAAATTCGGGCTCACCATCAACACAAGCAAAACTGTCTGTCTCTTTCAGCCTTCACCGGAGGTGCAATCTTCAATATTGCCGCGAATCAGCATTGGTGCTGAAGTATTGGAAACCACCTCCCGCTTCAGCTACCTTGGGAGTGTGATGTCGACTGACCAGCAGCTACACGTTGAGTTGCGTAATCGCGTGTCGAAGGCAGCAGCGGCATTCGGGAAGCTTGAGTACCGAGTGTGGAACAACCATCAGCTTACCATTGGCACGAAGCTGATGGTGTACAAATCCATGGTACTGTCCGTTCTTCTATACGGCAGTGAAACGTGGACGATGTACCGTCGGGATGTGCGATATCTCGAGCGGTTCCATCAGCAGTGTCTGCGACGAATTTTGCGCATCGGTTGGGGCGACAGAGTTGCAGACACGGAAGTGTTGCGCCGAAGTGGGATGTATGCAGTGGACTGCATACTTTTACTGAGACACCTGAGATGGCTCGGTCATGTGTGGCGCATGGATTCGACTCGGATACCGAAACAACTCTTATACGGTCAGCTGAGTATTGGGAAGCGGCACGTGGGGAAACCAAAGTTACGTTACCAGGACATGATCAAAGTGAGCCTCACACGTTCTAATCTTGATTGCAGGTCATGGGAATCGAAAGCGGTTGATCGGCGCGTATGGCGCGATCTCATCACGAAGGCAGTTGCTGAAGTGCGGGAGAAAGACCTCATGCATGCAGAGAAGAAGCGGCAAGTTCGGAAGCGGCAAGCACCGATGGATTGTAGTTCATCGACATCGAGTGCATGGTGCTGTAGCACATGCGGTCGCGAGTGCCTGAGTCAGGCAGGCCTAGTAAGCCATGAGCGAGGCCACTCGGGACTACTACCGAAGCGCCGACGGGTTCTGCAGAGAACGTAGGCAGAACCGGCGCAGCGTTTGTAGGTACGCTGCATTCGATTTACTAACCGCGTGCTTGCATGCTAAGTCTCTTTATTTCAGGTGGTGGGTTTTCAATTTTGCCCTAATGCTTTTCTTTCCCATATAAATGCCTAGTTATACTCTCTTCTATACACTTGCACACGTCGCTTAAGCCACTTGTAGTTATTTCGATAACATTTTCGTGTTTGTAGCATTTCCGTAAAATAAACCTCCTGACCTCGTGAACTTACCTCGTATTCTTTTGTAAACGTATTCTTTTGTAAACAACTTATTTCATATGCTCACTAATTTAAGATTTATGTCACCGTTTGCTTGCGTGCTAAGTCTGTTTATTTCAGGTGGTGGGTTTTCAATTTTGTCCCAATGCTTTGCTTTCTCGTATAAATGTCTACCCGTACTTTCTTCTATAAACTTGCACACGTCACTTAAGCCAATTCTAGTCCTTTCCGAAAACATTTTTGTGTTCGTGGCATTTCCGTAAAGTTTGCCTTCTGACCTCGTGAACTTATCTCGCATTCTTCTGTAAACAACTTACTTCAGATGCTCATTACTTTAAGATATATGTCACCCTTTCCTAGTGAGCCATGAGCGAGGCCACTCGGGACCACTACAGAAGCGACGACGGGTCCTGCAGAGAAGGTAGACAGCACCGGCGCAGCGTTTGAAGGCACGCTGCATTCGATTTACTAACCGCGTGCTTGCATGCTAAGTCTCTTTATTTCAGGTGGTGGGTTTTCAATTTTGCCTTAATGCTTTTCTTTCTCATATAAATGTCTACCTGTACTCTATTCCATTAACTTGCACACTTCGCTTAAACCAATTGTAGTCGATTTCCATAGCATTTTGTGTTCGAGGTATTCCGTAAAGTATACTTTCTGACCTCGCGAACTTATCTAGGATTCGTTTGTAAACAACTTATTTCATATGCTCATTAACTTAAGGTTTATGTCACCGTTTCCTTATGCATTAATCGAGTTACTTGCTTTGTTATTTTTCTCTCAAGTGATTGGCTGTTGTTTGATATCCCCAGTGTGGCTGCGCTTGATGTGCATGTTGACAAGGTGCCTACCTGTCTATTACCCGCTACCTCGTCCATACTGGCTTTAGGAGACAGTTGGTCGTTGCTGGAGGGGACGGGGTGCACGGTCCTTGTGGCCGTGTTAGGCTCGAAGAGTGGTTCCATGCACTCAGTGTGGAGCGGATTACGGTCCAGCCACCGCCTTGTGTGCGCTTGATTCCCAAATACAGCGTGCTTGTGTTTGCCTGTGAAGGAGTGTGGGCCGGCTCCGTTGATGAAACGTGGCTCCCATCCGCATGCCTCCCGGTCTTATTCCTTCGGGGTTACACTGGATATGGGGTGTGTGGTTGGAGCTGTGGGTGGTGCAGCGCAAGCCACTCATGGTCCCTCTGTAGGCGCAGGCGTCCTGTGGCTTGCCACAGTGACAGGCAAATCCGAAACCAGATGCCGCCAACCATATATATACCTGCGCCTACGGTGGCACCACAGTTCATCCACATACCCCATATCCAGCCTAATCCCGAAGGAATAAGACTGGAAAGAATGTGGATGGGGGCCACATTTCATCTACGGAGCCGGCCTACATTCCTTCAACATGCAAAACAGTAGCATTCCTGTCAGTCTGCATTGGGAGTCAAGCGTACCAGAGATCCACAAAGCGGTGGCTGGACTGTGGTCCGCTCCACACTGATGCATGAAACAACTTATTGAGCCTAGCGCCGTCACGAGGACCGTGCCGTTTACAGTTCGCGCGGCAGCAGCCGTCACCTGTTCACAGATGTGGTGCTTTAGGTCACTCACTGCTTGGAAGGCTTGAGCGAAACGTTTTCACCAGATAAAGCAACAAACAATGTTGGAACTGGACACCTGTGTTACTTACATCCAAGTACGGACCTCAACAATTTGCGCTCCCAGTTGGGTTCCGTACTAACAACGCAATTTATTTCAATTGGCTAGCAAATTTAGCTTTAAAAGGAAGCATGTATAAATTAATGGCGTCATAATAACCGGTTTTATGTCACACGTGCTTCAAGAAAAATGACTAACGGAAAATTTCGGCACAAATATGTGAGTTAAACAGAAATACCGCAGGGTGCACGGATTAATTGGATTCAGGCGTGACCATTCACATCAATGTTCCAACGATGTGGGGGCACATTACGGGGTCACATGTAACAACCATAAGCTGGCTCAAGCTGGTGTCCAAGCCGTCACTGTAAGGCAACTGATGACACGCAGTGTCTAATTGTATCACAACGTCTCGTGTTCCATACACTTTACCAAGCGAATTTGGGTACAGTCAGCTGGCCGGATGAACTGTCGCAAGCCGGATGCGGCCCACGGGCCCTGGTATAGACGATGGTGCACGGTGAAAATGGGTTACATTTACCAACACAAGTTTTGCAACAATCTGAAAAGTGACAGGCCTGCTAGAGCAACTCATGGTACATAGGGGACCACTTCAGTATCAATGACTGCGATGTGTACTCTTAGTGGCAACAACTTAACCAAAGCATGGTGTATGTTTAATAAGTGATCAATTTTTAATGTCGATTAAGTTCCATTGGGTTTATTGCCAAAGTAGAGTGCATCTTTCATCTCACTCTGTCGTAGACGTGGCCAGAAGATGCTCTCACAGCTGTCGCTACGCGTTCATTGGGTGCAGTGGATATGACCGAAGAGGTTCGGGAAGCATGCATCCAGCTTTGCAAGTATTTCCACACAAGCACCCAAAAACTCTCAAATCGGTATCTGCTGGAACTGGAACGACACAATTACGTCACACCCACATCATACTTGGAACTGATCACCACTTTCATGACGCTGCTGGAGAAGAAACGGACGTGAGCTGCCTTTTGAATATTCATTTGCAATCTATCCTTTCTCACACCTAAGCATGCTAGTCTTCATGAGCATTTGTACAATGCCTCACATTAGCCAGCTGGTATCATAACGTTAGCACACAGTTTGTACACTTGTTAAGTGAAGAAATGGTGGTTCCTAGAAAAGCTATTCCGACTAGTCAAACGAATATTCCCGCCCAGTGCCTGTCATCGGTACGCAACATTCAGTCTCAAATGTCGAGTTAGACGTGATTCCACACTAAACAACCGGGACCCAGTGTACCAAGGAAGTTTGTCCTACCGTCAACCCTGAGCATGACCAAGCGGGACTTTGGTAGTCGCATTTCACTCCGCTAGTGGTTTGCTGGGAAGTTTCTCAACACCGGTCGTTTTGATATTATGCTCACTTGGACAATGAACAATAGTTTATAACAGGCAAAAGTATTACTTGACAGGTCCTGTAGAAGGACCGTAGTGAGGAGTATAAAATGATTGTTTGAAATGGCAGAAAAAAGGGAAATTCTGATTTAAACTGACTCACTGAGTTATTCACATAAACACATATGCTGATCTGCGCGTCGCTACGTAACGGAAAGGGATAGTGAGCACACTGCGTTACTTCGTCTTCCACTGGAAACGGACTATGTCACGTAATGTAAATGGGATACAGTGTAGTTCAATTTTTCTTCTTTCACCCTTAATGTTGGGGGCGAAAACAACATGAGAAGGAAGAGCGTTCCACGTTCTGGATACCCGAAGGGAGAAAACGTTTTGTCTACAATCAAGTCGACTGTAGTGTGTAGTCAATTTGAGTTGGTATCCTCTCGGCTTGGTATTGCGGCTGACTTGCAACAGCTCGCGTCAGGCCTGATTGGTGTTAGTCAGCATTTGGTACACCATAATAAGGCCTCCTCGCAGACGCCGTATTGCCGCTGTACAAGCCTAGGGTTTTCAGTCTGCGTGTTCGTCGCCGTATGTTGCAAAGCGTCGATCGCAGCCTCATCGTGTTTGCGTCAAGGTCGCCAGGCCTGGACCGCGTACTTCACTTGGGGTCTGACGTGGGCGTTCAGCATTTGTAGATTGATGGCTCGAACTCGATCATTAGTCTTGGAGTGAATCATGCCGCTACGCTGCACTACACCATTCCACTTAGTTCCTGACGCAAACTGCAGTCCATTCTATTTCGCTGAATCGATGACTGGAATAACATACCCATTGCATGTGCATATAGCGTTTCAGCTTCAGAAGTGTTGTGTAGCAATTGCTAGGGCTATTTGTGACTCTGGATCTGCATCTTTGCGTTGAACTGTTTGGGATTGTTGCACAGATCTCACCCCTAACTGGTGACATGGTGTAACTCCAAGTGGTTAGAGCAGGATAGCGCGCTGACCTATTGTTTGAGATACCGCACTGATATTGTATGACATCTTAATTCGTTCATGCGACACATTCCATTGGTCTGATGCCAAGCGGCCTCGCGGTCCAGATCTGGGGGCTATCCCTGTCATTTGTATCTTTTGTAAACAACAAAGAATACGTCGCCCTGCGCGGTGATTCGTTGTTTGTCATTTCGGCTGTGAATGCCGGTCCTAGTGAAGAGATTACATTCTCACTTCACGAGAGCAGAGGCGAGGGTGATTTTCACAAACTCAAGAGAACCTAATTCCTCAACAATGCAATTGGTGTTAAATATTTGTTCAGGCGTTTATGGGCCAAGATTTGCTGCTGATGAGGTATAATGAAAGCGAAATGCTCACTTTTCCTGTGTGTACTTTACAGCGAAGTGTTGCTTCAAAAGAGCCGATATGAGGTCGGTTTGGAGAAGCTAAGCAGTGCAGCCGCAGAGATCTCCGAGATGTCACAGGAGCTGCAGTCGCTGCAGCCGAAGTTGGTACAGGCAAGCAAAGAGGTCGACGCCGTTATGGTTGTAGTGGAGCAACAGAGCGCGGAGGCAGCGAAACAGGAAAAAGTCGTTCGCGTGGACGAGGCAGTGGCCGGAGAGCAAGCCCGAATGGCTGAAGCTATAAAGGAGGAGTGCGATGCAGATTTGGCAGAAGCCATACCAATACTTGAGATAGCATTGAAAGCTCTGGAGACCTTGACTCCAGCGGTGAGTGAGCAAACCATTGCAAGTTCGATCTCTGTGTTGATGCAGAATTTTTGTTCAATTATATGCGTTTAGACACGGGAGTTTCTCCGCTCACGCACTAGCTGATTTTGGCAGACCAGATGATCGATCATAATGGCTTAGATTGCGCTTCGTTTTTATTCTACACTCCAGCATGCCGGTTGTAATGTGATAGAACCCACATACCATGTAAAATGTGGTCACACAACACGTCTATTCTGGTATTTCATTTATGATCCTGATTAATCAATCACATCCCTAGGGGAGTCGTGTGTTCTACCTTTTGCCCAGCCACTGAGAAAATTCACCGCTGACGATCTGTAGGGTTCTAACAGTGGTGAACAGGACGCTATAAAACCGCCGATCACATTGAGTACTTCCATTTACTTACCTTATTGCAATTCCAACCGATTTTCTTGTTCCAAATGACAAGTTGTTGATACTCTTTTTTTAAGGATATAACCATTGTCAAGGCGATGAAGTCTCCGCCTGCCGGTGTCCGCTTAGTAATGGAAGCAGTATGCGTACTTAAGGGCATCAAACCAGATCGAGTGAATGATCCGGCCGGTTCGGGGAAGAAGGTAGAAGACTACTGGGGACCTTCTAAACGATTACTTGGTGATATGAAGTTCTTGGAAAACTTGAAAGGTTTTGACAAAGACAACATACCTAATTCAATTATGAAAATGATCCGGGAACGCTACATACCCAACCCAGACTTCAAGCCAGAGCGTGTGGCGGTTGCCTCCACTGCCTGTGAAGGCCTGTGCAAGTGGGTGATAGCCATCGATAGATATGATGCAGTGGCGAAGATTGTAGCCCCCAAGAAGGAGGCCCTGGCAAAAGCTATGGAGGAGTACACCACGGCCATGGACGCGTTGAGTAAAAAACGAGCCGCACTTAAGGAAGTACAAGATCGTCTGCGCTTGCTGACTGAAGATCTGGAGGCGAACAAAAGGAAGAAGATTGACCTTGAAAACAAGGTGGACATATGTACGAAGAAACTGGAGCGGGCCGAACAACTCATCGGAGGTTTGGGTGGGGAAAAGTCTCGCTGGACGGAGGCAGCCAAAACTCTTGGTGAACAATACATCAACTTGTCGGGAGATGTTCTGACCTCCAGCGGTGTGGTTGCTTATCTCGGTGCGTTTACTTCTTCCTTCAGACAAGACCAAATTAAGGAGTGGCTGGCGGCAGTGAATGAAAGTGCGATCCCTTGCTCCCCCGCGTTCAGTTTGGTGAGCACATTGGGAAATCCTGTCGAGATTCGGGCGTGGAACATCGCAGGCCTGCCTACAGATGATTTCTCCGTTGAAAACGGAATAATTATCGCGTACGTTTAAGGCTTATGTATTTTTTCTTTTCTTTTCACGGTCCTGTTACATTACCTGGTGTTTGCTATCAGGGATGTTAGCATGGACCCTGTCCGTCATCCATCTCTTGCCACACTGCCGTGAGGTTGGACGAACTTAAAAGCTCGGTGCGTTGCAGATGATCAACGACTGCACTTCAGCTCTTATAAGGAGGACAACGATGCCATGCATGTCGTAGTACAAATGAGCTTCACTAACTACTCGATGCGGGGTCGGTGTATTAGTCGGTTCACTAAAGTACCCACGCGTTGTACACACTGAGATATCCCTTCTTGCTGCTTTCTTACGGTGTTCAGTATGCAGTACACGAGAGTAAGTCCCAGTTTATTCGCTGGTTTGCTCGGGATTCTTGTATGCCTACAAAGAGCGGTCAAGTTAATGTACGGCAGGACCTCGTTAGTTCTGAGCGTGAGCAGAGTTCCAGCCTCGATGACGAAAGCGCTGGAGACGCTTTTTTGCCTTTGACATTGGCATTCCATAAGACCCCATTTCCATGCATATATATGGCATGAGCGAGTTAAATTTATGGTCACTGCAACGGTGGAACTGGGTTGAATCTGAGTACGCCTTACGAAACGTATATACTGAGTAGTACAGGCTGTAAAACAGCTCATAGCCTGGGGAGGACCACGGTGGTTCTAGAAAGTAAGACAATGTACAAGGTAGAACTCACGACTTGGTTTGCAACGTACAGGTAGCGGGCGAAATGGCAAGCGTAGAGATGAAGTTACTAGTAGAACTATTAAACCAAGCTTGGATGACTTCGAACCACTAGTTACGTGAAAATAAGCCTAATTGATAACATTTGGTATTTAAGTATGTAACTGCTTAATGCACACACAGTAAGTTAGTAGCTAGGAATGGTGTGATTAGGTGGGAATGGCGATGTTGAGTCACCAGAAGCAAATAATCTGGCTTGTATATGAAATTAATTCCTTTACGGACCTTAAACCCACCACGACATCTGTTTTGCCGATCGCGTGCCACTAACAACGCACGAGCGCAGTGTTGGACGATGAGGCGCTAATCGTATGATAACGGATCGTTAACGGCCTCCTAGGCTAGGTTGGTTTACAAAATAGCTGGTTTACCCCATTGACAGTGATATCTCCGTCTTTTATTGCACAGTAACGCTCGCCGGTGGCCCCTAATGATTGATCCCACAAGTCAGGCAAATAAATGGGTGAAGAACATGGAAAAGAGGAACAATTTGCAAGTAGTCAAGCTGACCAGCAGTGATTTTGTACGAACATTGGAGAACTGTATTCAATTTGGAACCCCAGTTCTTCTGGAAGGAGTTGGGGAAGAACTAGATCCGATACTAGAGCCGTTATTGCTGAAACAGACCTTCAGGCAAGGTGGAGCACTGTGTATAAAACTGGGCGATTCGGTTGTCGAATATTCCAATGAATTCCGTTTCTATATAACAACAAAGGTAAGTGTTGATCCCGTGCTCTCTTCTTTCTGGGACTGGATTAAATATTTTATTACATTATGTGCAGAAAAGGACATTTTCATCTGGCCTCAGCAGGTCCCTCGTTCGTTCGACTACTTTTTACTGAACGGATACTCACTTCGGACTTCGTTCACTCGCCAGCACCGAGGTCACGCAACCTAGAAATTGTCTCGTAAGTTAGGCTTTAATTGAGCCAACCAATGATCCGAAGCAACCACGTAGATCGCTTCAAACGTGGGGACGCGATTCACATCAGATGTACTCTGCAGATTTTCTTTGTAACTGGGAGGCAACCTCCTCCTTTCCAGGGAGTGTTGGCAATGTGCTTGATAAGGACCAGATACAAGGCCATTTGCAAATTCCAGTTCCGTGAGTACTCGTAGTACTTAAGGAACGAAAAGCAGTGATTAGTTTCTTTGCATCACCCTTGGGCGGTAGATATTATGAACAGATCCATCGGTGACAATCAGCATCATCCAATAAGCTCCCATCGACCAACCGAAGACAGCTGAACTACGGGTTGCACAAAGAGTGTCATTGCTGATCAGGTCATCACGTAACCTAGGTGTTGACCCTGAGTAAAACGGACGCCAACATGGACAGTTTCCGAGCCAGTGATGTATCGGTCAGTTAGGATTTTATCATGAGGACAAAAACGGGATTCCAGAGAGCGGATTGCCGCTGTATTTTATCCTACCTGCTATAGGTATTGCATTCAACTGCTTTTGTTAGGTCACCTGTTGTGCGAGTTATAATTTCTGCCAGATATTAATGAAGCGAGAATCGTCACACCGTGGAATTCGACAAGTAGCAACATACTATTACTGATGTAACCAGGAGTGACTTGCAAAGTGAATCCCCTGCAAATGTAATCTCGTTGACATGTGCCGTTTCGAGCCACCATAGTGGCTCTTTGCCATGTACAATCAATATAAAATGTGCATCAGCAGTACGCCAGTACGCAGTGCCGACGCTTCGCTGCCACACAACCACCACCAGTCGCTCGTGACCTAAGAATACTGCGAAGGTCGGCCGGTCCCTGCGCGGGCTCGAACCCGCGCCCTTATACTACAAGGCAGGTTTGTGATCCCTAAGGCTGTGGGCCGGCAATTAACTCATATAGCACAGCCGGACAAATTTGTAGTAACTATGCTTTTCTATACTGTCCAAGTCGAGGTAATTGTGAAAACGACCATGTCGCCGGATTCTGAGATGAAACATCTCGGGCCTCACAAATAGCAGATAGGCGCATTCGAAAGGATGTGAATCCTCCTCATAGTGGCTCGTTATAAGTGGGAATACAGAAATCGAACCGTTATCAAACCAGGCTTTAGTTACGTCAGGAGGAGAGGATTTAGTTCATTGATGTTTCACAAAGACGCTTTGGCATTTCGACACTTTTATCGGCCAGTGACTGAAGGTATCAGGCGTTTCCCTTGTAACCCGAAAGTCAACAGTTTTTTATCCGATGGTGGTTGTGAGCGACATAGCAGTATCCCTTTTGGTCGTCGCGTAACAGCGAAGTGTAGTTGCTGCGCACTGGCTTGTTGCTGCCTTCTTTTTCTTTTCTATTACATCAGTACTTACAATACTGAATCCTCGTCCAATTATCAAGCCTCCAGAAAGATGAATCGTGTACAACGGAACACCGAAGCCGTAAGAGTTACACAATAGGGTCACACAGAAGCTTGTTTTGATTTAAACAGCGGAAAGGCGAAACTGTGTAAAACACCATTTCAGCACGGTAACTCAACGGTTATTGTTGAGATGCCAGACATTGAGACATTGTCAAAATTTCCTTGGAATGCTCTGAATTCGTGGTTTATGGGTAACTCACAGACCTTTTTCTCTTCGTTGTTCTTTTCAGCTGAGAAACCCCCACTATCTACCTGAGACAGCGGTAAAAGTCACACTAATGAATTTCATGATCACCCAAGAAGGTCTACAAGATCAATTATTGGGTATTGTCGTGGCACGTGAAAGGCCAGAGCTAGAGGACGAGAAGAACAAATTAATCCTACAAGGAGCAGCAAACAAAAAGAAACTGAAAGAGCTGGAGGATCAAATTTTGGGCGTTTTATCTTCGTCCGAAGGTAACATTCTGGAGGATGAAAGCGCCATCAAGGTGCTCAACTCTTCGAAGGAGTTATCAAATGAGATTGCGGAAAAACAGGCGTATTTCGAGGAGACTGAGCAAAAGATTGACACAGCTCGCTTGGGATACGTTCCCATAGCGGTGCACTCGACAGTGTTGTTCTTCTCCATCGCTGATTTGGCTAACATTGATCCGATGTACCAGTATTCGTTAACTTGGTTCATCAATCTGTTCGTCATGGGAATAGACAATTCAGAGAAGTCCGAAAATTTAGAAGAACGTCTTGAAAATCTACGAGCCTATTTAACCTACTCGTTGTATTGCAATGTCTGTCGCTCTCTGTTTGAGAAAGATAAACTCTTGTTCTCTTTCTTACTGGCCGTCAACATGTCCAGACACCGTGGCGAACTTAACGAACAAGAGTGGCGTTTTCTACTGACAGGAGGTGTGGGTCTAGATAATCCACACACGAATCCGTCCGATTGGCTTCAGCCTAAGAGTTGGGATGAGCTTTGCCGGTTGGATGACGTGACTGTGTTTACAGGAATTCGAGACCACTTTGCGCTCAATAACAAGGCATGGAAACAAATTTACGACAGCGGAACACCTCACCGTGAGCCTCTCCCGAAGGGACTTCAACGTATCAACACCAGGCTTCAACGTATGTGCATCTTACGTGTGCTGAGACCAGACAAAATGGTACCTGCCATACAGGATTATGTGCTGGAAAATCTTGGTAAAAAGTATATTGAACCGCCTCCATTCGATTTGCCCGGCTCGTTTGCAGACTCTGCATGCACTATCCCGCTTCTGTTTGTCCTCTCACCCGGGGCAGATCCCATGGTGGCCCTTCTTAAATTCGCTGAAGATATGGGGTTTGGGGGAACCAAATTCGAATCTCTTTCATTAGGACAAGGACAAGGACCGATTGCACTACGTATGATTGAACGAGGCCTCAAGGAAGGTATTTGGGTGTTGTTGCAAAACTGCCACCTTGCACCGAGTTGGATGGGCACGCTGGAAAAGGTTGTGGAAGATTTAAATCCAGACACAATACATCCAGACTTTCGGCTATGGCTTACCAGTTATCCAAGCAAAGACTTCCCGGTAGCTATACTACAGAACGGAGTCAAAATGACAAACGAGCCTCCGAAAGGTCTGCGTTTCAATCTATGGCGATCCTATCTGAGCGATCCGATTTCGGATCAAGAGTTCTTCCAGTCCTGCCCCAACGAAAATGCATGGAAAAAACTGCTATTTTCTTTAGTGTTCTTCCATGCAATTGTCCAAGAGCGACGGAAGTTTGGCCCTCTCGGATGGAACACTCCGTATGAATTTAACGAGACTGACTTGCGAATCTCTGTACAGCAGCTGCACATTTTCCTGGAACAGTACAAAGTGAGTACCAGAGTGGGTAAAAAAACGTTATCTGAAAATAGTGGAAAAGGACAAACCGCTGTAAGCTATTCTGGATTTAGCTACGTTGCACATTCTCTCCAGTCAGTGAAATCCTGATGATGGTAATTGAAGCGATTGTGAGGTGACTGAATGCAGGATAATTTTCATGATCACTGTTCTCACCTTACCGACGCGAAAAATTCACTATTTTGACTAGTAGGATAGGAAGGAGGATTAATTCCAAGAATTGAATCAAAATCAGAAATATTTTAACGTGGTCCAATATGTGTCACCTGAGGGTGCGGATTCCCATACGTCTGTCACAGATGCGAAAGCACTGACACTTTGGTGGAGCAGCCTTACGCCATGCCGGATGGGGTCGTTGTGCTTGTATGCGCGCCTTCAGTGACACCGTGAAACACACGCAATTAACTGAGCCCCATGCGCACTGGTTCACATCCATATCATGTCGACTGCCTGTTACCAAAAACACCGCTAGGGCGTGGTGGACTTGACCGATGTTTCTACACCTTTTCTCAGTGACTTGCATCCATAACGCTTTCAAACTCAGTTTTAAGGAAATAGCTTTCGTCCATACATCTTTCAGAATCCTCGTTAAGGCAATCAAATATCATCCACCTGGCGCGAACGCACCAAAGCGCGCCCCTCGTTGAGTGACCAATCCCAAATCAACCAATAGCATATCAGACTAGTTTACGACATGAGTTACTAGAGAAGGTTTGGGTGTGGCGCAGATCGCGTGCGATTTGGTGGGTGCCTAGTCGCGCTCGAGACTCGTATTCAGGCATGATTGGCTACACTGAAGCTACACACATGCTAGGGGGTATACTCGCAAAACTCACGTGGTGCCATCTGGGCTTAGCAGTCACGAGTGATCATGGTGGTTGGCACGTAACCTTTCAGGCATTTCCACTTATACGTGAAATATGATTGCGCGGTGTGTCCGCCCATTTCATCGCTGAGCTGTCCGTATACTGCGACGCACCCAGGTGAATGAGTGCGAATGAATTGGCCCTTGGGAATAATGACATGAAGTCGCTCACAAATACCGTTGTCAATGATCGGCTGGCATGGAAGTTGGGCTAGTGACACCGGAGGGACGTGGAGAGCGTGTGGACCGCGGTGTGTTTCGGGGTGCCGCATGATCACTGAGCGCAATGTTGAAAGGTCCACATTTGGTGGATGTAGCGATTCGAATCAGGATGAATGCGCGCGCAGTGCACATTGGCATCCTCACCGAGGTTTCACTCGCCTATTGCCTTTGTTATGCCGTTGTTCAACTGAGTTTGCTCCTGGGGAATATTTCATATGGTTGCGTCATGGTTCCCATTGAGGTTGCTAAGACATGTAAAGGCCTGAGTTGTTCCTTCAACCGTTCTCACACATGATTTGTATTGTTGTGAAACAGACCGAATGTGGTGTTTTACCAGGGGTGACACACACGAACAGAAAGAAAAGAATTCCGCAACACTCGGGGCGGTTATACTAATCTACCACTTCCAAAGAATGACCTCAGTTAGGTGTTATCGCTAAAGTGCAGTAAATGGCGGCGCACATGATTTGGTTAACTCGGAACAATGTAACCATTAGCAGATCATCAGCTAATCATCAATACCCGTGTTCCCGTCTCTTTTCAAATGGCAAATTACGCGTTCCAGTGACGCACTTGGAAACCCGACGTTGAGTATGCTCCCGATCAGTGACATTTTGCTTCAGTTTTGGCTACCTTGCCTGAATTGCTTGTTCTGTGTGGTGGTTCCCAGCTTATAATGCCATTTCCGTTTGCTCAGAACAACCGGTCATCGCGAACCAGTGTCGTAGGTCAGGTTCGACGATAGAGAACCGTAAGTCTGCGTTTCGAACCTATAGATGTAGAAGCTGTGGCATCGTATGCAGAGTATCTTACATGCGCGTAGTCACTCTACCTTTGAGAAATGTATACTTCAGATACCCAGCTGTCGAACCGGTTGTGAACTTTTTGAGAAATTAGCGTTGTTATCATTAATAAATCGTAGTATGTCGCGAAGGTGGAAACTGAGCTCGTAAGCGTAGGCTAGTCTCAGACTGATACGGCACAGTACAACAACGACATAGTGGAGAAACAAATCGTATCGCGACGCGACTGGACTTTATCTTGATGCGATGGTTTGCCTACCTTCGTGACCTATTGAGCTTCGCTCGGTGGCAACTTCTAAGTGTCATCAGGACTGCATACCAAACGTGTCAATAGTTAGGGGTCGGATTAACTCAGTCGCACAATCCTCTTCTAAGGTTGGTAGAGATTCATGGTCCTCTTCCACCACAACCACGGGAGGCAACAGGTTTTAGAGTATCTCACAGCTCGATTGGCGTAGAGCACGAGTGCCACGCATTGTCTCTTTTCGTGTGAGTGCACCACGCGGTGCTTAATGGTTTGTTACCTCCCGAGGATAGCGTGCATTTTCAATGCTTCTGTTTATGCCCCAGTGGCTGCAGTTCGGAGGGCATGAAGGACCACTTCTATCGTCATCAGGAACTACTGAGACTGTGATTGTTGCTGGTAACATGGATGTCTTAGTGGGTCGCCTTTCGGACTCCGAACAACACCTGGAAGTCTGTTTCGGGGTGTATGCACACCGAACAGACAGTGGCGATCGATTCCTACAACTATGTACTGACCTCAATGCGCATATTAGCAGCACTGCGTCCAAGCACTAACGTTCACATCGTGTCACATGTGCCCACCGAACCTCTCCATGACTTTGACTCAAATTGACCCTGTTGCTGTCGGCCACACATGGCACACCTCAGTTCAAGACTGTCAGTTAATTTTGTGTGTCTGCATTCGGACCAGGCTCTAGTGTCTCCCAGTTCACCTGCCATTGCAGTGACACCTATATATGGGGTACCAAATGACTCCCTAACCCAGACGTTCCTGCGGCACCGTGGCGTGCTGTACACCGCGACCAGGCTTCGGGAGGTTTTCAGATTCGTTCGACACAGAGTCAGCAGCGATTGTCCGCCCTAAAGGTAGTGCCACGGAATCTCCTGTCTTTGCTACTGGAGGCCCCATTGTCCCGCGTTTGCGACACTGAATGCCCTAATCTTGCAATGAAGGCTGCCTGCGCTCTAGTCGTGGCCCATCGATTGCCATTCTGCGCCGTTGATGCACTGATTGGCCAATATGAGCTTCCCTATATATACGGTTCCCAGTATGGTTGATGCTCACAACGTTGGCTTGCCCATACGTCTCCGTTTGAACCCGTCTCCATCTTACCCCGTAACTTGTTGCACCTCGGCGCAGCGCGGTTACTGCAGGTAGGTAATCATACGGTACAACTTACTATCGCTTATTCACTCTACGCATATTGTCAAGAGGAGGCCCACGCATGCGCCATCCGGCGGTGCTTGAGGCAAGAATATTGGACATCTATGAAGAAAGCGATGACTGGAAGCAGATTGCATCCGTGTTAAATGTCAATCTGAAGACTTGCCGAAGTTGGATTAAAACGTCAGAGTCCAACGAACCAAAAGGAAAAGGTGGCGGGACACGTCGAAAATCATTAACTGACATTCACCTGGATAATCTTGTGGAATGAGTAGAAGCGGAGCCTACCATAACTTTAGAGTGTCTTCGTTTCCGATTGAAAGCGGAGCTCAATGTAGAGGTGAGCGTCAGCACAGTAGCTCGGTGCCTGGAATGTCGCCTCATTACCATGAAACAGCTACATGCTATACCGGAGACAATGAATACGTTTGGGAACTAGAGACGAAGGAAGTCTTACGGTGTGTAGCTGGTGAACTTGGAAGCTGAGGGGTGGCAACCCGTTTGGATTGATGAGGCCAATTTGCACTCGCACTAGGGGGCGTTCAGCACGTGGTACACGTGCGCAGTGCACTGTAGCGAGCACTCGTGGACAAAATTTGCACCTTATCAGCACAATGACTGTAGATGGACTTTTGAAATATACCGTCTTAAGGGGAGTTACAACAGGGAAGGGTGTGCGCGGTGGTTGCGGCAAATGCTTGATGCCAACGGCACCGCCGTTCCAGACAGGTGTCTACTCGTATGTGACAACGCACCTGTGTACTAAGAGAACCGATACTAATCAGGGAGACTATTGCGACTCGCGCCGTATTCGCCTTCAATGAACCTCATAGAAGGCGCTTGGAGTATCATCAAGGCGAACGTCAAACAAGCCATCCGGCGCGGATATCCCGAGATGCTGCGACGCGAGCCAGTTGGTGCGCTTAGTAAAAGAGAATGGAGGATCCATTTCCTTGCAAAGATTGTATCTGAAGCACGAGGCAGCGTTACGCGGCACCATTGTAAACAAATGGTGGAACATGTCGGAGCGAAGTACGTGCGTGCAATACACTTAATGGATCTGCAAATCTCTATCATGTCACTGATATATTGTTTTTATCTTTCACTAATACTTTTGCTCAACAGCCTTGTGCAATACAGCTCTCCAATTTGGGCAACACTAGGATGAACTATCGGCAACCGTAATTTCGGTAGTTAAATCACTGTGTACTTCGCCAACGCGGCTGTCGTATCTCCAATGCTAATAAATCATAGCAATTATCATGGCAGCTACAATGCTCGCAATGTTACTGGACCACGCGTTAATGGTTGGTTAAGTGAGGAACAGAGTGTCTTCGATGTCGCGGAAACATTCAGCATGTAGGCGCAGCTACTGTGGGCAGGAGTTGGGACGTTGTTTTCTTGAAGTACGTGTTGAGAAAAACAGGCAACTACGGAGAAGTCATCCACTGAGCCAGTCAGAGAACGAGCAATGGATAGTTAATACCCAGGGTCAAACACAACCCAAGAATACTACCTTTACCAAGCACGGTGCTGTTGTGTAAATGTGGCGTACGGACTCACATTTCCACCAACGCCGCACAGGCGCTGCGCCAGTCCGCGGTGTACAAACCACACCAGCACAAGCTAATTACATACAGAACAGAACACGCAGTGTGTCACTAACCCGTTA